TAAAAGCATCAATTCTTCAGCGCTCAGCTTTCTTTATAGTCCCACTCTCACATCCATACACGACTACTGGAAAAACCATACCTTTGACTAGACGGACCTTTGTCGGCAAAATAATGTCTCTGCTTTTTAATATGCTATCTAGGTTGGTCATAGCTTTTCTTCCAAAGAGCAAGTGTCTTTTAATTTCAAGGCTGCAGTCATCATCTGCATTGATTTTGGATCCCAAGTAAATAAAAACTGTCACTATTTCCATTGTTTCCCCATCTATTTGCCATGAAGTGATGGCATCGGATGCCATGATCTTAGTTTTTTGAAAGTTGAGTTTTAAACCAACTTTTTCACTCTGCTCTTTCACTTTCATCAAGAGGCTCTTTAGTTCCTATTCGCTTTCTTCCATAAGGGTGGTGTCATCTGCATGTCTGAGGTTATTGATATTTCTCCTTGCGATCTTGATTCCAGCTTGTGCTTCATCCAGCCTGGCATTTCGCATGATGTACTCTGCATATAAGTAAAATAAGCCAGGTGACAATATACAGCCTTGATGTTCCAATTTGGAACCAGTCTGTTGTTCCATGTCTGGTTTTAACTGTTGCTTCTTGAGCTGTATACAGATTTCTCAGGAGGCAGGTAAGGTGATCTGGTATTCCCATCTCTCTAACAATTTCCCACAGTTTGTTGTGATCTACACAAAGGCTTTGGTGTAATCAATAAAGCATAAGTAGATGTTTTTCTGGTATTCTCTTGCTTTTTATATGATCCAACGGATGTTGGCAATTTGGCCTCTTGTTCCTCTGCCTTTTCTAAATCCAGTTTGAACATCTGGAAGTTCACGGTTCACATACTGTTGAAGCCTAGCTTGGAGAATTTTGAGCATTGCTTTGCTAGCATGTGAGATGAGTGCAATTGTGTGGTATTTTAAACATTTCTTGGCATTGTCCTTCTTTGGGATTGGAATGAAAATTGACCTTTTCCAGTCCTGTGACCACTGCTGAGTTTTCCAAATTTGGTCCCATCACTTCATGGCAAATAGATGGGCAAACAATGGAAACAGTGATAGATTTTATTTTCTTGGGCTCCAAAATCACTGCAGATGGTGACTGCAGCCATGAAATTAAAAGATGCTTGCTCCTTGGAAGAAAACCTATGACCAACCTAGACAGCATATTAAAAAGCAGAGACATTACTTTGCCGACAAAGGTACATATAGTCAAAGCTATGGTTTTTCCAGTAGTCTTTCATGTATGGATGTGAGAGTTGGACTATAAAGAAAGCTGAGCACTGAAGAACTGATGCTTTTGAACTGTGGTGTTGTAGAAGACTCTTCAGAGTCCCTTGGACTGTAAGGAGATCAAATCAGTTCATCCTAAAGGAAATCAGTCCTGAATATTCTTTGGAAGCACTGATGCTGAAGCTGAAACTCCAATATTGTGGCCACCTGATGCAAAGAACTGACTCATTGGGAAAGACTCTGATGCTGGGAAAATTGAAGGCACTAGGAGAAGGGGATGACAGAGGATGAGATGGTTGGATGGCATCACCAACTTAATGGACATGAATTTCATTAAACTCTGGGAGTTGGTGATGGACAGGGAAGCCTGGCTACTGCAGTCCATGGGGTTTCAAAGAGTCTGACAGAACTGAGTGACTGTGAACCGAACATAATACTTACTGATTGCAAGAAGGTCACAAAAGAATATGTACAGTATGATTCAATTTATAGAAAGTTTAAAATTGGAAAAACCAACAACAAAAAAGAGAAATAAGGTGACAATATGAAAGTGTTGCTCAGTCATGTCCCACTCTTTGGGACCCCACGGACTGTAGCCCACCAGGCTCCTCTGTCCATGGGATTCTCCAGGCAAGAATACTCGAGTGGGAAGCCATTCCCTTCGCCAGGGGATCTCCTGACACAGGGATCAAACCTGTGTGTGGTCTGAGTCACCAGGGAAGCCCAAACTTAAAAAAAAAAAAAAATTAAAAAAAGAGCCGAATATATGAGCGAGAGGAACTTTCTTCTCCATTAGGTGGAGCTGTGGCTTCGTGAACCGGGTGACAGAAAATATTTTTCAATTCTCTCTCTGTCCTACCACTAGTTGGAAACGTGTTTCAATCACAGAGACAGAGAAGCTTGGGGAAGCTAGTTATGAACTCCTGGGTTCATCAGCCCCCTTCCCACTCCTGTACGTGAGTGAATGGGCTCTTAATGAGCACACCAAAGACTTTGATTACTAAGCCCCCGGAGAGACCAAAGCCCAGGTCCCAGGTTGATTGCTGAATCTGGAGTACACGCAGGACAGACAGGAACAGCAGAACAAAGGCTATAGAAACTGAGCTGCCACTGGGACCACAGGTCAGAGAAGTGGGCTGGAAGGTGTATCGTAAACTGAACCAGGTCAGTGTCTGCTAAAGCACAGATATCAACATTCTCCATAATTTGGCCAGACCTAGGGTCTTTTAAATTAACAGTCAAAACATCCAGGATACACGTACACCCATGGCTGATTCATGTCGATGCATGGCAAAAACGACTACAATCTTGTAAAGTAATTAGCGTCCAATTAAAATAAATTTTTAAAAATAATTTAAAAATCCAGGATAAAATCCAAAATTAATTGGCACATGAAGAACCATGAAAATCTCAACTTCCATGGGAAAAAAACCATTAGTAGTCATGACATAGATGATGGAATTACCTGACAAAGACTTTTAAAGTGGCTAGTACACAAATGCTTGCATGAGTAATCATGACCACTTGAAACAAAAATTAAAATAGAAAGCATCAGCCAAGAAATAGAAGATACAGAGAAAGGCCAAACAGAACCTTCAGAACTGAAAAATATAATTAACTGGAATAAAAATACCCAATGGAATGACTAATTATCAGAAGGGAGATGAAAAAGGAAAGATTCAGTGAAACTTTAGATGGATGAATACAAATCACTCATTCTGCAAAACAGAAAGAAAGAGAGAGATTTAAAGAACCAAACAGAGCCTCAAGGACCAGCTGGGATAACATCTAAAGCTCTAATATTTGTGTTATTAGAGTCTCGGAAAGGGAAGAGAATCAGTGCAGTAATAATGGCAGGAAATGTTCCAAGTTTGAGAGAAGACAAAACTGAAGACTCAAGTTGCATGAACCTGAACAGAATACCCTGCCCTGCATATCCATGCCAAGGCAAAAATCATAATCAAACTTCTCAAAATGAAACAGCAAAATTTTTGAAAAAAATGATGCAACAGCTATGATTCTGATGACTATGTATTTTTCATCAGAATCTCAGGGGCTATTAATATCTTAATGAACATAAATTTGGCCCACATCATGTTGCTTCTTCATTTTGTGATTTTTTTTCACCCTCGAAACCCCAAACTTTCTTGCTAAACTCTTCCTAGGTGCATAGCCACACATTTGCTCAGTACATTTCAAAATTACTTCTTCCAAAATCCTATCAAAATTCTCGTTCCTAAATGCAGCTCTGCTGCATGCAAGGAGAACAAAGTTACTATGTACTCAGAGTGAATGTGCAGTTCGTTATATCATTGGAGCAATTAAGTTTTAAAGCAAAATTGTGCAAAAATAGCAGGTGCACATCATTTAAGTCCTTGGGGCCAGATGTGTTTTGGAGTTCAGAATGTTTTACACATAGAACATGTTAGTAATACCCCACAGGGACTGAAATAGCACCCTGTAATGAAACACACTAATATTTATTTTTGTACCAAAATGCAAATGCCAAATTCACGTATGAATATTTACATTTAGTAACATAAATAATGACTGTAGCCTCACTATAGTTCAAGTACAGTTCTGTGACCAAAAGTGTTTGCTGCAAACTTAACAAATCTTGTTTCCTGGAGTTGTTTGAATTTTATATTTGCAGATAATTTATTGGGGACCCATATTTCAACCTTCAACTTATCAGTAGCTCCTATCAATCCTATCTGCAGATCGAGCTTCTCGAAATTCTTTCTTTAGATCTACTGCCAACATTTTAGCATTCTAGACCAGATCATTCTAGATCTCTGGCCTGGATGACTTGAAAAGACTTATTGACTTCGCTAATCTGTGTCTTATTTCCGTACTAATCATCTTCCACTCTCCTCCCAGACTAGTCTTTCAAAACTGTAAAAAGGACTGTGTGGTAGCTTTGGTTCCTCACTGCTTATATAACAAAGCCTAAATTCCTATACAAGTTCCTACAAGATCCAGTATTTCTTTAAGCTCGAGCTTTATTTCTTGTTGCACCCATCATCCACGACAGTATGGCCAGGCTAAACTACTCCGAGTTCCCAGAATAACCCACCAAGTTTCCATTTGCCAACCAGTTACTGTCAATCCACCTCATCTCCTTTTCCCTTATGTTCAAATTCTTTATCAAAGTAACCCACACACCCTGTCAAGTGTTCATTCCACTTGGAATAGTCAATGCCTCTAATTGATGACATGTCTATCTACCCTTGCAGCCTCTGTATCTTGACCTGCCAGCCCACTGCCTAAATACCTGATAGATGCTCAAGAAATGTGGAGCAAAGCTGGGGAACTCTGTAGCTTTCTCCCCATCATGGAATCCACTCTTCCACAAAGAGAGGAAGAGTGAGCTCAACCTGTCTATAGCAAATGTTAGCAGAATACATAGATGGGATGGGGTGGGAGGTGGGAGGGGGGTTCAGGATGGGGAACACATGTACACCCATGGCTGATTCATGTCAATGTATGGCATTTAATAAAGTCTTTAAAAAAAACTGATGAAAAAGAAAACATTTCTAGGAGCGCCAGTCCAGTGGTTAGGACTCAGTGCTTTCACTGCTGAGGGCCCAGGTTCAATCCCTGGGTGGGGAAATAAGATCCCAAAAGCCATGCAGCATGAGCAAATTAAAAAAAAAAAGGAGAGAGAGAGAGAGAAGACATTTCTTGCTTAACCTACTTCCCTGATACAAATGTATATGCCACATGTATATATCAAAAAAGAAAGACGGTAATAATACATCACAAACGTTACCATGTAGGAGATGGGAGGAATAGAAACTGGGTCCCAGATGGTTGACATGCAGGTGCAGTTACTCAACTGCCAGTTCATTTCACTGGTCATTTCCATCTCTGAGGGTTGACACCAATTCACGTCAGATCTAAAGGGCAATTGATAAATCAGCTCACATTGGGAGATGACAAGTCTACCATGTAAACATCTAGTCAAGACATAGCCTTTGAGACAATGTTTATGCTAATCAATAGGTAAGAGATAATAGGAAGGAACCAGTAAAAAAGCTAAAAAATAAAAGACCGTGGCTATTTTCTGCATGAAATTAAGGTATCATTACAAAGCTACATATTTCAGCTTAGTTTTTATTTTATTTTATTTATGTTTTAAAATTTTATTTCTGTCGCTAAGTCATGTCCAACTCTTTGCAACCCCATGGACTGCCGTATACCAGACTTCCCTGTCCTTCAGTCTCTCCTGGAATTTGCTCAAACTCATGTCCATTGAGTCAGCGATACCATCCAGCCATCTCATCCTTTGTCATCCTCTTCTCCTGCCCTCAATCTTTCCCAGCATCAGGGTCTTTCCCCAGTGAGTTGGCTCTTTGTACCAGGTGCCAAAGTATTAGAGCTGTGTAACCTTGACTAAACAACTTAAACTCTTTCCTTATTTATAAAATTAGGATAAACTATGGTTCATATAATTAGCATTATTAAGAGAATAAATAATGTAATGTGTACTATTTTGTATAAATAAGAGAATAAATACAACTAAAAGGAAACAAACTCTTATTGAACTCTTACTAGGCTCTGTGTTAAGTATTTTCACAATCTTAAATATTTAATTTTCATAATAACTATGTGAAGTAGGTATCATAAAGTCTCATTTTATGGATGAGGAGACAGACTCTCAGAGAGGGCAAATACCTTGCTCAAAGTCTTACAGTCAATTAGTGGCAAGCCTAGAAACCCATATTCTATATCACTGGTAAAGGTTATTATCCCTGTTTACTTCATCTATTTCAACTCCTCTACCAAATTATGTAATAATCTATTCTGCATACACTTTAGTTATAAATCTAAGACATGTTTCTTATCTCTACAAGCTCATCTTTATTCTGTATTCATCATCTGACTTATTAAAATTTAGTTTTTATCCAAGTGATCCAGAGTTTAAAAAACCAAACAGTGCTAAAAGACCTAAAACCAAAAACACCAGTCCTCACAAAAGCAGCTACTTTTTTCCTTATGATATTTAATTCCATAATCCTAAAGAAGATGTTTATGCTACTATGTCTTCCCCTCTCACCCCGCTATATCTTCACAATACAGGCCCCAACTCTAGAGCAAGACTGCCTGGGTTCAAATTCCATTTCAGTCATTTCATATCTGTACGTTGGAGAAGTTACAGAATCTGTGTATCTCAGTTTCTGCATATGTTAAATGTGGATTCATTGCATTCATTCTACAAATACCCATTCAATATCTAGTAGGTGCCAGGCAGCATCCTTAGTGTCTGAAATATATAAAACAGATGGAACTATTTGCTTTCATGGAGCTTATAATCAAGTGGAAATAATAACTTTCCCAAGTAGAAAGATTGAGTCATCATGTGTAAAATACTTAGCATGAACAGTATCTGGCTCAGAGGAAACAAATGTTAGCACCAAATAATATGTCATTTTGATTTTTTCCTGGAGATCTGTCTACATCCTTCTGTTCCATTCCAAATTGGCTTCTGTACAAGTAAATACAACCCTTGGACTTCCACTGTTATATTGGGAATTCCCTCCACCTCTTTAAGTAGGGCTCTCTGTTTCCCTGAAACCCATGTGTTCCTCTTTCTTAATTTAAGAAAACCACTGTTTTGTTGGAGCACACACTGTGGGATCTTTCTGAGCAAAGGTGCTTGGTAGGCAATTCTTTTTTTTAACTTTTGGGTGTCTGAATCTATCCCTTATATTTCCTTGAGAGCTTGATCCCCCTTATTTCCTCACCTCTGATAGCAATTATAATCAACTCTACCTCCAAAACATGTCCCAGGGGCATCCACTTTCCATTATACCCCCTACACGACCACCATTCCAGACAGAGTATTTCATGTGCACAGTCAAAGAAGCAGCATAAACTGTGGAATTTTAAAATATATTCCTGGATTTTATTTGTGAATATTTTATGTACAATTCTGGTATCTATAATTAATAAGCGAGCTTAGTCAGCAGTTTCCGTTCTTTGCTCTATCTTTACTGGGCTTTCATATTAAAGTTACAGACTTCCCTGGTGGCTCAGATGTTAAAGAATCCACCTGCAATGCAGGTAGACCTGAGTTCAATCCCTGGGTCAGGACGATCCCCTGGCGAAGGAAATGGCAACCCACTCCAGTATTCTGGCCTGGAGAATCCTACGGACAGAGGAGCCTGGCGGGCTACAGTCCATGGGGCTGCAAAGAGTCGGACATGACTCAGCAACTAATACATTAAACTTATGTCATTTTCTAGACTGTATTGTAGATTGCCCCTCTTTTCAATAGCCTGGAATTGAAATTGTCTACTCTTTAAGGATAGATAAAGCTCAACTTCATGTGACAATGGGCCTATGCATGTTTCTGCTTCTTCTTGGATGAATTCTGTCATTATATTTAATTTGGAAAACCATCAATTTCCTTTAGATTTTCAAATATGTTGTTACCAAACAGTTGCACAAACTATTGATGTATAATTGTTTTAATCTCTCCAACATCTGTGGTTATATCAGCCCTCTTATTCCTCATCTTGCATACATTCTCCTTTCGGTTTAATCAGAGGAGCTTATTTTATTGGACTTTAAATCAGTGTTTCAGATTTATTGTTCCTGCAATTTTATTAATTTAAGATTTTATCTTTATAAATTTTATCTTCCTAATATATTTTTCTTAATTTAGATGAGTTTTCTTAAGATAAAACTAAGTTCTTATTATCTTTTTTAACAATGATGATTTTTTTTTCCTGTTCAGCTTTCATATTGCCCCATTAACTCTGATATGAAGTTCTCTTTTTCATGACCTCCAGAACTAGACAGCGTATTAAAAGGCAGAAACATAACTTTGCCATCAAAGGTCCATATACTCAAAGCAATGGTTTTTCCCAGGAGTCATGTATGGATGTGAGAGCTGGACCATAAAAAAGGCTGAGCACTGAAGAATTGATGCTTTCAGATGGTGGTGCTGGAGAAGACTCTTGAGAGTCCCTTAGACTGGAGATAGATCAAACCAGTCCATCCTAAAGGAAATGAACCCTGAAAACTCACTGGAAGGACTGATGCTGAAGCTGAAGCTCCAATACTTTGCCCACCTGATGTGAAGAGCTGACTCAGAAAAGATGCTGATGCTGGGAAAGACTGAAGGTGGGAGGAGAAGGGGGTGACAGAGGATGAGACGGTTGGATGGCATCACTGACTCAATGACATGAGTTTGAGCAAACTCCAGGAGATAGTGAAGGACAGTCCATGGGGTTGCAAAGAGTTGGACACGACTTAGCGACTGAATGACAAAGATACTTGGTAACTTCCCTTTTGATTTCCTGTTTGGCAAAAGGATTGTGTTCTATGCTTAGTTGCTCAGTCATGTCTGACTCTTTTCGACCTGTGGACTATAGGCCACCAGGCTCCTCTGTCCATGGGGATTCTTCAGGCCAGAATACTGGAGTGGGTTGCCATGCCCTCCTCCAGGGGATCTTCCCAACCCAGGGATCGAACCCAGGTCTCCCACATTGCAGACTGCAGGCGGATTCTTTACCATCTGCGTCACCAGGGAAGCCCAATGTGTCCTGCAATTCACATTAATTCTTGCAAAATACTGATTAATTCAGATTTTCATGGTCAACTTTTCATCAATTAGTTATAATTTTATTGGATTATGATAAAATGTAGCCCATAAAATTCTTTGGTTTTTTTTTAAGATTTTCTTTGGGATTCCTTGGAAGAAAATGAACAGTGTGTGTGTGTGTGTGTGTGTGTGTGTGTGTGTGTGTGCACGCACGCACTTAGGTTTCTTATTTATTTATTAGGTATTTAAATTCAGATATGTCCTTATGTTTTGTCTACAAGATTTGTCCAACAATGAAAGAAGTCATTGAAACTACCCAGTAGAACCGTACTTTTCAAGCTCCCCATGCATTTCCAATAGCTTTTTCTTTAAGTATTAAGTTTTGTCCATACACTACTAAGACTGTTATATCTCCTGAAATAGTGTCTTATTCTGTTGAGTGCTTTTAACCTTACATTCTACACCATTTCTTGTTAATATTATCAGTTCGGCCTTCCTTTGATTTTCATTTGCCTATTTTTTTTTTGTTTGCTTTTTATGGCAATTTTTGGCAAAAAATGTAGAGAATCACTCACTGAAGTAATACTAATTACCTTACAATGCTGAGGAGCTCCAACTGGCAGTTTTATTGTCTTTGTTTAATAAAGTAAAAAAAATAAGTATCACTCATTTACTACAGTTTCTACCATAAACTAAGAAAATAACCAAGAATACAAAGAACTATGAAGAATGCCAATATTTCAAACATGCTTAGCCAAAGAAAAGCCTTCAGACAAACCATGAAAGGTTAAATCAAAGTAAAAAATAACCTTTTTTTCTAGGTGCTACGCTCATCAGTCCCTTCCTCTAACATGTATTTATTGGCTGTCTTTTTTTAAAATAACTCACCTGTTAGCTGCACTTCCTCCAAAGTTAAGATCTGTTTTATAAAACAAACACAAATTTCACATTATTTTAATGTAAATACTCCTATTAAAATGCATATAAATATATATACAAAATATTAGTTTAAAAATAGATGCTTACTTTCTACAAGGCTAACAACTGAACCGTCCAGGTCATTTGCTATGACTTTTTCATTTTGCCGTCTGGCTTCAAAACGTTTGCAGGCTTGTGAAGGCAATGTTGGTTATAATATAGCAGAGAAAAGAATCTGAAAATAAGAATCAGACGAAAACCTAAACCAAATTTCCATCAATACAATAATGATATATCTATATCTATACCTTCCCATTTGGAGAAGGCAATGGCAACCCACTCTAGTACTCTTGCCTGGAAAATCCCATGGACGGAGGCGCCTGGTAGGCTGCAGTCCATGGGGTCGCCAAGAGTCGGATACGAATGAGTGACTTCACTTTCACTTTTCACTTTCATGCATTGGAGAAGGAAATGGCAACCCACTCTAGTGTTCTTGCCTGGAGAATCCGGGGGACGGAGAAGCCTGGTGGGCTGCTGTCTATAGGGTCGCACAGAGTCGGACATGACTGAAGCAACTTAGCAGCAGCAGCATACCTTCCCGTTACAAAGTAACAGGACTTTAAATTACTAGGCTAATTAGTATAAATAAGGTCATTTAAAATTATTTGTTAAATTTAAATTGAGCACTTGTTATGTGCTAGACACTGTACTAGGTGCTAAAGATACAGCTGTGAATAAGGAAGATAAAAATATCTGCCTTCATTTAGCTTACGTTCCATTGGAGACCAATAACCAAGACGAAGTACATAACATGTTAAAGTGCAAGTCACTCAGTCGTGTCTGACTCTTAGTGACCCCATGGGCTGACTATACAGTCCATAGAATTATCCAGGCTAGAATACTGGAGTGGGTAGCTGTTCCCTTCTCCAGGGGATCTTCTGAACCCAGGGATTGAACCCAGGTCTCCTGGATTGCAGGCAGGTTCATTACCAGCTGAGCCACCAGGGAAGCCCAAGAATACTGGAGTGGGTAGCCTACCCCTTCTCCAGGGGATCTTTCCAACCCAGGAATCGAACTGGGGTCTCCTGCATTGCAGGCAGTTTCTTTACCAGCTAAGCTAGCAGGGAAGCCCACATAACATGTTAGATGGTAAAAAGTGCTAAGGAAAAAATAGCAGGGAAAGGAATATGATATGTTGGTGAGAGAGTGGGCATTTAAATTTTAGACAGGAATGGCTCACGGAGAAGGAGACTTTTACATAAAGACCTGAAGCTTGTAAAGAGTGACCCATGTGGATCCATCAGAAGGAGCAGCATGAACAGCTCTGAAGAAACACTGTGATTGTTGTATTTGATAAACAGTGTCTCCAGTGTATCTGGAGTCAAAGTGGTCAGAGTCGGAAGGCGATGAAGGGGTTTGTAAGGAATTTGTCTTCACTCTGAGGCTACCATCTCTGAGATGGGAAAGTCACTGGAGGGATTTGAACAGGCATAATCTCTCTGACTACAAGGAGATCAGTCCTGGGTTTTCATTGGAAGGACTGATGCCGAAGCTGAAACTCCAACGCTTTGGCCACCTGATGCAAAGAGCTGACTCATTTGAAAAGACCCTGATGTTAGGAAAGATTGAAGGCAGGAGGAGAAGGGGACGACAGAGGATGAGATGGTTAGATGGCCTCACCAAGTCAATGGACATGATTTTGAGTAAACTCCAGGAGTTGGTGATGGACAAGGAAGCCTGGAGTGCTGCAGTTCATGGGGTCACAAAGAGTCGGACACGACTGAGTGACTGAACTGAACTGAACTGAATCTCTCTGACCTGTATTTTAATGGGATCATTCTGATTGGTATGTAAAGAATGGACTGCAGAGGGCAAGGGTAGAAGCAGAAAGCCCTTGCAGTAGTGTAGGTAATGGTAACTCTGACTACAATGGTAGCACCAGAGATAGTAAGTAACACATGGTCAGCTTTTACATATGTTTTGAAGGTAAAGTCAAAATGTTCCCTCATGTATTGGATGTGGGTGTGTGACAGAAAGAAAGGAATCAAGATGACTCCAAGCCTGAGTTGCATTGGTCCTAGTCACATTCTTCCTAGAAGAAATGAGTCGCTATTTGCCATTAACTTGACATGGGGGAAAACCATAGATAAAGGAGGCTTGGGGTCAAGGGTCAAAAGCTTAGTTTTGGACACATGGAGTTTGGGAACCCTACTAGATGTTCAAGTACTACCACAGAATGGACACTTGGATATACAAACCTGGAGTTCAGGAGCAGTGGCTGCAGCTGGGAGTTCTTATCATGTAAATGGTATTTAAGGCCATTGGCTTGGATGAGGTCATCTAGTATTTTTATTTCACAGTGACTGAAGAGGAAAAGTAGTTTCAGCTGGCCACAGGGTTTTCAACACAACTGGCTCAAGCAACGAGCATTAGGCAACCAAGGCTAAGTGCTCAAGACAGCATGGGCAGAGATCACCAGAAGCCAGTTTTGGGCTGTTGGTACTCAGGCAGACATTACTTTGCAGACAAAGGTCCATCTAGTCAAAGCTATGGTTTTTTCAGTAGTCATGTATGGATGTGAGAGTTGGACTATAAAGAAAGCTGAGCACCGAAGAATTAATGCTTTTGAACTGTGGTGTTGGAGAAGACTCTTGAGAGTCCTTTGGACTGCAAGGAGATCAAACCAGTCTATCCTAAAGGAGATCAGTCCTGAATATTCATTGGAAGGACTGATGTTGAAGCTGAAACTCCAATACTTTGGCCACTCGATGGGGAGAACTGACTCATTTGAAAAGACCCTGATGCTGGGAAAGATTGAAGGCAGGAGGAGAAGGGGATGATAGAGGATAAGATGGCTGGATGGCATCACCAACTCAATGGACATGAGTTTGAGCAAGCTCCAGGAGTTGGTGATGGACAGGGAAGCCTGGCATGCTGCAGTCCATGGGGTCGCAAAGAGTCAGCCATGACTGAGTGACTAACAGTTTTATGTTTAAACTTCTTAAAAGCACTAATGATTCCCAAACCACAGGGCCTCAGAAAAGTCCTTCTTTTGGAAATGGAGCAAATGTTTACTATATATATATAGTGTTACTCAAAGGACTTACGTTCATCATAGTTTTGGTCAAAGTCACCCATTGAAAATGCAGAAAGTGTGTCCATTGAGAAAATATATACAAAAGAAAAATAAAAAACATCATTTAAAATAGACACAGTTTAAGTCTTCAAGTTAAATTAAGAGCAAGCAAATTTTAATACATATAAACCCCATGAGGGTATAGCTCATAACTACAGGAATTTTTGTCTAGCATAGAGGGCCAAGTAATATCACTGAAATACAATCAGCCATTAAAAAAGAAACAGGATATGGCTGATCATGTGCAGTTATGTACCAGTAAGTGTACAACAACCAGCTCTCTAGGAAAAGGCCTGTTTTGTAACGTCTGTCCATTTATTTCTGTGGTATAAACGCTTCCATCACAGCCGATTTCAAGTTACCACTATGTCATTAACTAGCTTCCAGATTTCCCGAGACAATAGCAGTTGGGCTCCTGTGAGCTGGTCTGAGTTGTATCTTGCATACTCACTGAGTATAAGGCTAACTAACCTTTGGACTTCCCTGGTAAGCAAAACTTGCTCCGTGCACAGACATCACACTTGATTTATGTATGTATCATGTGTTTACTTTTTAACACTTGCCTTCTAAGTAGTATTTGCAGGTACAAAATTCAGAAATTAAAAAAAAGGGATACAGTGAAGACTTGCCCACCCATCCCTTTCCATTTTATTCACTTCTCAGATATCCTTCCAGAAATGTTCTTTAAGAAATTAAAGAAATATATGTGCTTTCTTTTTTGTTTTTAAAAAGAATAAGCAGTAGCATACTATACACTGTTTCCCACCTTGCTCATTTTCTATTGAACAATAGAAAATACATGCATTTTACAATACATGTTGGAGGTCATTCCATTCCAGTGCCCCTTATTGAGGGTCATTTTGTTACTGCAATATTGTAAGGTATATCCTTGTTTATATGACATTTCACAACTATGAATATATATGGGATAACTTCCTAGAAATGAAGTTGCTAGGTCAAAGATTGCTTTAGGAAGAGGCAACAGATATAGTAAGCGGTTAGGGAATTAAAGAATTAAATATTCTAATCCTGCCCTCAATTATCACTGAGATAATCATAGAACAGAGTCATATCACCTGAAAACCAGACTTTGCTTGCTGAGTTTGTCACAAATGGATTGTTTGGTATGGAGGGAATCAATGCACGCTGCATGCTAAAGAGATCACAGGAAAAATGAGTCATACTAGGCAATCAAGAGAGATACAAATATCCTACCTGGCTGAGCCTGCATTTCTTTCATTTATTCATCTATCCACCCATCGATCTATCCATCTTATTATATACTAACTACATACCCACCTATAATAAAGAGAAAATTAATAGTCAACAGACTGGTCTAGTAGAGGTTGATAGTATAAATCAAATATAATTAACATAACCTTAAAAAGTGGAATGAATGAATAATATATGACCCTGATAGAAATCTTGAACAATGCTGAAAAGGACAAAACAGGAAGCTGAAATCAACCATAATTATTCTACTCAGAAATAGCTAATGTGAATATTTTGAAGTGATGCACCTCAAAGTTTATATTATTCAATTTGTATGTATGTAGAGGAATACGTGTATGTTTGTGGATAAACAGTTTGCCATACCATTAAATAATCATCCACAACAGTTAATTCTCCCTAGCAGAGTCCCTAGGGTAAGAAATCGAATTCTTCAAAGAAAGGTTCTTCTAGGGCCAACTTATGACTTTGAGAATCACTCAGTATAAGAAAAGATGTTCCTCTGGGAAGCAAACGACACTGTGAAGTGTATGGAATCCCACAAAAGACTGAAAACTTCTATCCCATATTATCATTAAAAATGGCTGTATACTATTTCACCATATTTAAAGCCCAAAATTTCTTTAGTCAATCAGATGTTGCTAAACTGAGACAAATTATTTAGATGAAAACAAAATTTATCTATATTATGAGATTTATCAACTTACCCATAAGGAGGTACAATATCATGTTTGTCCTCCAGAGAAGCCAAATGCTGTTTTAGTGCTTCAAGTAAACTGTAGGGTGCCTAAAAATAATTAGGAAAAAGTTGTTTTTTGATAGTTATTAGCAAAATCAGACTCTCCTATATCATGAAAAGGTTCTGAAAAACAATTAGGACACCTGTCCTGCAAATGATTAAAGTAAAATCATTGCTACAAGTAAATTCATTCTTAAAAGTAGCACCTTGGTATGAAATCAGATTTCCAGACTATGCTTTTAACATACCTTTTTAAAGAAAGAACAAAAAAGTCTCTTAAGATGATAAAACAGCTGCTAAAATATCTGTCTCCTTTGGAAAAGACACTGGGCTTGAAATTCTTCATTACTTATGGTTCTTTCATGAGTCACTAGATTATTAGATAAATTTCAGTAAAACATTAAGCCTAGTGGTGAAGAGGGAGAGGAGGTGAGAAGAAAACAGAGAGACAGAGAAACACAGCAGGGAACAGAGAAGCTCATTCATGGTCTCCAGTCTCCCCTGGAATGTCACCTCCTCAACCAGGATTTCCTTGGGTGTCCTAGAGAAAACAGTACCTACCAACAATCTCTTTACCATCACCACCTTTTCTTTTTCTTCATGGCAATTATCATCCTTGAAATTATAGGTTTCATTCTGTGTATGTTTATTGCCTATCTCTGTGCAGTAAAATATAAAACTCTAAGGGACTGATGTTGAAGCTGAAACTCCAATACTTTGGCCACCTGATGCGAAGAGATGACTCATTGGAAAAGACCCTGATGCTGGGAAAGATTGAAGGCAGGAGGAGAAGGGGGCGACAGAGCATGAGATGGTTGGATGGCATCACTGACTCGATGGACATGAGTTTGAGTAAATTCCGGGAGTTGGTGATGGACAGGGAGGCCTGGCATGCGGCAGTCCACGGGGTCGCAAAGAGTCAGACACGAATGAGTGACTGAACTGAACTGAACTGAACAAGACAGCAATTTTGTCTGTCTGTTCACTGATGAATCTCAGTGTTTGGCATACAGTAACTGCTTAATTGGTATCTGCCAAATGAATGTGGATGCACCCTTTCATTTTCCACTCCAATTAAAGATGGGAGAAGTGTTCTTCTTACATAAGGTCAATTCCCAACCAGCGTTCTGTGTGTCCCAGCATGTCTCCCCTGATCCAACCATTCACTCCTCAAGAAGAGTTTGTTAATAAACTACTAGACACCAGGCACAAGGAATACAGCAGGCCTCACGACTTGGGGTGTGGGAGAGGAGAGATATCAAATAATCAGATGAACAAATGTCAAATGAAAGCTGTGAAAAATACTATGCAAGAGAGGTACATGATACTTGGTGTTTAGGTGAATCTGATCAAGTGAGGCATTGCAGAGAAGCAAGCTGAACAACATAACGGCTGAGCTGAGAGCTGAGGGAGAAAAGTTGGATGGTATGAAATTAATGAGCATGACAAGCGGGCATATGGCACAAGCCACAAATAAAGGTGAACTACGTTGCCAGGGCAGGGAGAGCCAAGGGGTGTGTGGAGGAGATGAAACTGGGAGGGTTTTCGATGGTCTAAGACCTTAAACTCATGTCAACATTGTGGCATTTGGACATTAACTTGAAAACTGTTGTTGTTTTTCAGTCACCAATTCAGGTCCAACTCTTGGAGACCCCAAGGACTGCAGCATGTCAGGCTTCCTTGTCACTTACCATCTCCCAGAGTTTGCCCAAGTTCATGTCCATTGTATCGGTGATGCCATCCAGCCATCTCATCCTCTGTTGCCCTCTTCTCTGCCTGCCCTCAATCTTTCCCAGCATCTGGGTCTTTTCCAATGATCCAGCTATTTGCATCAGGCGGCCAAAGTACTGGAGCTTCAGCTTCAGTGTCAGTCCTTCCAATGAGTATTCAGGGTTGATTTCCTTTAAGACTGACTGGTTTGAAACATGTATATTATCAAATGTGAACCAGATTTCCAGTCCAGGTTTGATGAATGAGACAAGTGCTCAGGGCTGGTGCACTAGGATGACCCAGAGGGATGGGATGAGGAGGGAGGTGGGAGGGGGGTTCAGGATGGGAAACACATGTAAATCCATGGCTGATTCATATCAATGTATGGCAAAAACCACTACAATATTGTAAAAAAAAAAAAAAAAAGATTGACTGGTTTGATCTCCTTGCAGTCCAAGAGACTCTCAAGAGTGTTCTCCAGCATCACAGTTCAAAAGCATCAATTCTTCAGCACTCTGCCTTCTTTAAGGTCCAGTTCTCACAACTGTACATGATTACTGGAAAGACCATGGCCTTGACTATCTGGACCTTTGTCAGCAAAGTTATGTCTTTGGTTTTTAACACACTGTCTAGGCTTAAAACTAAATATTAAAATAATTAAGATCATGGCATCCAGCCACATCACTTCATGGCAAATAGAAGAGGAAAAGGCAGAAATAGTGACAGATTTCCTATTCTTGGGCTCTAAAATCACTGCCCCCCCAAAATAAACAAATAAATAAATAAAATCACTGCCCAACTTCCATATGTTCAAGCTGGAGTTTGAAAAGGCAGAGGAACCAGAGATCAAATTGCCAACACCTGCTGGATCATCAAAAAATGCAAGAGAGTTCCAGAGAAACATCTACTTCTGCTTTATTGATTATGCCAAAGCCTCTGACTGTGTGGATCTCAACAAACTGTGGAAAATTCTTCAAGAGATGGGAATACCAGACCACCTGACCTGCCTCTTGAGAAACCTGCATGCAGGTCAAGAAGCAACAGTTAGAACCAGACATGGAACAATGGACTGGTTCCAAAGTGGGAAAGGAGTACATCAAGGCTGTGTATTGTCACCCTGCTTATTTAACATATTCAGAGTACATCATGTGAAAGGCTGGGCTGGATGAAGTACAAGCGGGAATCAAGATTGCCAGGAGAAATATCAATGACCTCAGATATGCAGATGACACCACCTTTATGGCAGAAAGTGAAGAGAACTAAAGAGCCTCTTGATGAAAGTGAGAGAGAAGAGTGAAAAAGTTGGCTTAAAGTTCAACATTCAGAAAACAAAGATCATGGAACCTGGTCCCATCACTTCATTGGCAGGACTGATGCTGAAGGTGAAGCTCCAATACTTTGGCCACCTGATGCAAACAACTGACTCATCTGAAAAGACCCTGATGCTGGGAAAGATTGAGGGCAGGAAGAGAAGAGGGCGACAGAGGATGAGATGGCTGAATGGCATCACCGATGCAATGGACATGAGTTTGAGTAAACTCCGGTAGTTGGTGATGGACAGGGAAGCCTGGTGTGCTGCAGTCCATGGGGTTGCAAAGAGTTGGACACGCCTCTTTGAACAACTGAACTGAACTGAAAATCACTGCAGAGGGTGACTGCAGTCATGAAATTAGAAGACGATTGTTCCTGGCAGGAAAGCTATGACAAACCTAAACAACTTGAGAATACTGGATGACTACTGGACGACTTTGAAGTGAGGAGTGAAATGATCAGATCTGTAATGTGAAAGTTCTCAGACCAGCATCATGGTTGCACTGTATAAAACAATCAGCAGGGGGCAAAGTACATGGACGTGGAGCAGTGGAGATGAGTTGAAGCTACGTTCTTGAGTTGACGCTGGCAGAGATTGACCCCAATGCGGCTGAACTAGCAGCTGGAAAAGGGTTTAATGAAGGAAGTGTTCACAGAGGTGTGCCAGGGCTAAGGGACCATTCTGAGAGGAACAGGGATAATGGCACACAAGTTACCAAGAAGGGCAACACTTATCCTCCAATTAAAATTCTTTTTAAAAAATAATTAAAGAAAAGAAAAGAAAAGCATCAAACACATGAGTCTGAGAAGACTCAGAGGAGGCTGGGTATCACTCAGTATGGATGGGCTGCTGGGATGATGCAGCTAAGCAGAAATCTGTTCAGAGGAATTTCCCATCACACCAAATATGGGGACAAGGAGAAGACTTCCCCACAGATGCCTCTTAAACATGTGGGCACTCTCGGCACAAAGGAATTGGAGAGTCTGTCCCAAGCCAGAGGCCACAGGCTCCTCAGCAGCAGGGAGACCAGGAGGTCTGGAGTCCAGGATGAACTTCAAATGTTCAAACATACAAGATGGGGAAAAAAGAGGGAGAGGGACCCCAAAATGATCAGGGGACTGCCAACATCAGCAGGACAAACACACATGTATGGCAAAGGCACAAAGCATTTCTGGATCAGTCAGTCAGTCATTCAACAAACACATGACAAAATCATAAACAGAGAGAAGTTGCCATTCCTTGCACAATGTGGGTTGGAAACATTCTTTTTTCATCCGATTTGCTTTCCGATGATTCCAGCAAAAGGGTAGGCGGGAGGCTGTCAGAGCTCTTCTGGGAAGCACCCAGTAGCCCACCGCCCACCAAAACCAGGGCCACTCCATACGGTAGGTCCCCCCGAGTTTGGGCTCCTGGAACTCTGCTAAGGGGTGCGGCCCGGGTTTAAAGCACTTGGCTGAAAAATGAAAATGCATGGAATCACAAGCAGAGCAGCCGATGTGTGAGTTTTGTGGGAGTTGAACCCAACACGAATGAAAGAGCAGAGAAGGGTGGCAAGAAAACGGGTAGACCTAGACAGACACACTGGACAGCCACTCACGGAAGGATACTCCATGAGCCCGAGATGGGGTAGAGACCGAGGAGGAAAGATCAGCCAAGGAAGTGAGGGAGATGCCTCTTCAGAAAACCAAAAACAAAACCATGAGCCTGAACATGGGGAGCGTGCACTTAACATTTCCCTTCCTCCACGTAAAGTCAAGATGGTCGGAATCATGAGAGAAACTGGCGAAGCGACGCAGAGGTGCAGAGGAAGACCTCTGCAACCTTGCAGAGGTTGAGCATCAAGACTGACTGCAAATGCTCCTCCCAAGGGTGTATGGACCTCTCTCAAGGCGGCTGACTGAGGGGGCAAAGAGGAGGAAGGAAGGAAGACCTCATCTTGAACTTTGAATCAAGATGTCATCAGAGTAGCCAGGGAATTAAAAGATCAAGTGACTCCCCACCTCTCTCCCATCCCAGAGAGCCCTGCGTCTTAGTCCATCCCAGGCTTTCCAGAACACCCCGGAAAGCACGTGCCCAGCGAGCAGCTCAGCCGGCCCAAGGCCGGGACAGATGACTCTCTGTGCTGGCTAAGGGCCTAAAGCCAGCGTGCTGATAAGGAAGCTCTTGCAGTAAAAGCAGCTGATTCACAGAGCAAGGAGTGGAGACCTGTGTGACACTTGAACAACAAAGAGCCTTGCCTGACTTCTGCGGTCTCTCCCCCAGCCATCGATTTTGGTTTTTGACTCAGGGGTCCTGGGGATCCTAGGAACCAGGCAGAGCAGAGGTAAGGAGAACAGATGGGGGTCTCATGGGAAAGAAGGACCTCTAACCGGGGGCTGTCTTGTCCAGATGCCCTCCCCCCTCCAGAGCTCTGGCCGCAGGCACTGAGCACTGAAGGGGGCCAAGGCCAAGAAGCCAAAGCACAGTTCAACTGAAGCTGGTCTGTGCTGCCATGTTGGGCTGTGCAATTCTCAGCATGGGAACTGTTCCCACCTTTGCCACCACCCTCAAGGAAGGGAGGTCAAGGTGCAGAAAGTCAGAGGATGATATCTGGGGAGATATCGAGTCATGTCTCCATAGTCTTTTTTTCTCTGGCAGGGGTTAGGACTATCTCATTCATGATATCTCCCTCCTGGGAGGGGCCAGACCTGTGTCTGTGAAGGCCTGTTGATTGCAATCCACTAATTATTGTGACTCTGGGCAATGAAACCCCATCTTCTCCTCTACTAACGCAGACATTCTCATTGTCTCTCTGTCTGGTTAGTGGAATTCTCATTCGGGAAGCTGTGCCTTACTGCATCCAACAGTGGTTCCCATTATGGACCATTTGATGGGGTTCAATGTCTGTGCAGAAAATAGGTCACTTTGGTACCTCTCCACACATGAAGGAATGATTGTGAGGACACATATGTTTCCCTCAAAGGTTTTTGAAAGTTATCAGATAGACACTCCCTCCTTCTCCTGATACCAAACTCAACATTTCCTTGCAGCTGCAATGATCCTGTCCTCCCAACCTCCTCTGCCTTCTAACTGGAGGCCTCTGCTGGGTCCACTGTGTTTTTTCTTCACAAGCTTCCCCCCATACATGCCTGACCACCTCCCATTCCTCCAGTCTCAACCAAGGCAGGTCTGCAACACCAGAGTCAGGCAGCAGGTCGTGCTAGTTAAGGACCTGACTTATGGGATAGGGAGACCTGGGGAATGGCTGTGGAAGTTCTGAATCCCCAGATTCCCCAGAAGGCTCTGAACTTGAAGAAGCTTCCTCCTCCTCCCTTGCTGGAGATGATATGGAGACCACTACCCCCCCCTGCAAGTTACATGTCTCATCAGGATATGTCCCCACCCCCTTCCTGGCCTCTAGGCCTCTAACTACAGTTAAGTCACAGCATTGCCAGCTGGGGACATGCCTCCACCTATAGTCCAGTCAAAACAGTAAAAATAAACGAGATCACTTCCTAGGAAGATTGAAGAAATCCGTGCCCATCTTAAAGGTAAAGAGGATGCAGGGGTGATGGTCCCTACTGTATCTCTATATAATTCACCAGTATGGCCCCCAAAATAGGCCCTGGGGAATGACAAATTGCAGCATAATCAATCAAGTGTAACCCAGTTGCAGCCACTATAGTTTCTTTGGTTTTTGTTGCTATTGTTCAGTCACTCAGTCATGTCTGACTCTTTGAGACCCCATGAACCACAGCATGCCAGCCCTCCCTGTCCATCACCAACTTCCAGAGTTTACTCAAATTCGTGTCCATTGAGTCAGTGATGCAATCCAACCATCTCATCCTCTGTCATCCCCTTCTCCTCCTGCCTTCAAACTTTCCCGGCATCAGGATCTTTTCAAATGAGTGCTCTTCTCATGAGGTGGCCAAAGTATTGGAGTTTCAGCTTCAACATCAGTCCTTGCAATGAACACCCAGGACTGATCTCTTTTAGGATGGACTGGTTGGATCTCCTTGCAGTCCAAGGGACTCTCAAGAGTCTTCTCCAATACCACAGTTCAAGAGCACCGATTCTTCGGTGCTTAGCCTTCTCTATAGTCCAGCTCTCACATCCATACATGGCTACTGGAAAAAACCAAACCTTTGACTCTACAAACCTTTGTCGGCAAAGTATATCTAGGTTTGTCATAGCTCTTCAGTAGATGTAGATTAATGTAGTCTCAGGAACACGGTATGTGGCTAACAGTTTAGTGAGTGCTGTGCTTTCCATGTCATCTAAATTATGAATCAGTAAGAGTTTGTGGCAGATGAAATGAACAATGCTATACATTTATGATCCGGTCCAGGCTGTGTTAACTCTCTCAACCCATATGTTGGTCAGAATATGGTCAGAAAGAGTTTAGTCCCTCTGGTCACCTCTCAGAATATTGCGCTGATCTACTTCCATTCATGATGTCATGCTAAATGGACAAGATGAGCAGAAAGGGGAACTTGGAAAGTGATATGCACTCCAATGGAAGGTCAACCCTACAAAGATTCAGGAGCCTTCCATAGCAGTAAAACTTTTAGAGCATCAGTGGCCAGGGGTCCACCAGGAAATCTCATTCAAAATAGAAGACAAAGTGTTGTATCTCACACGTCTCACCATGAAAAAGGAAGCATGAGTACTGGGAGGTCTCTTAGAGATCTGGAGACCAGGAAAGACTGCTTTGGCTCATATTCCAAGTGACCTAAAGTAGCTTGCCATGTTAGTCTGGGTCTCAGAGCGGGTCAGCAGGCTGGGCCTGCAACCTCTGCTGCTCAAACCCTATGATATACGTGGGATGGAGAGCAGGCAGGTCAAGAGGGCACCCATGGGCTGCATGAGCAGCCTACCAGACCCACATTTCATCCTCACCTGCACTGCCTGCCACGTGAGGGATTCCTGATGAGAGACTTTGGGAGAAGGAAAAAGCCTGAGCTCATCTGATGCTCACAACTCTGCTGTAAGGCAGACAATAGCGTCGCCCTCATTCTGCATTTGCATAAAGGAGGCATGGAGAATACAAATGAGTTGCTTGAGATGACACACTTGAAAGGCAGATAACGCAGCCTCAAGCCTAAACTCACTGTTCCCAATACCTTGCTATTTTCTTTTTTTTTTAATTTTCTCTAATTTTATTTATTTTTCTAGACTCTGTATTTATTTTATTTTTCCCCATTATTTTTATTAGTTGGAGGCTAATTACTTTATAATATTATAGTGGTTTTTGCCATACTTTACAATATTGTGGTGTATATGTGAATGTATATGTGAATGTGGTGTATATGTGAATATTATAGTGGTTTTTGCCATACTTTACAATATTGTGGTGTATATGTGAATGTACAATAATGTGGTGTATTCACATGAATCAGTCATGGGTGTACATGTGTTCCCCATCCTGACCCCCCCTCCCACCTCCCTCCCCATCCCATCCCTCAGGGTCCTCCCAGTGCACCATCTCTGAGCACCCTGCCTCATGCATCAAACCTGGACTAGCGATCTATTTCACATATGATAATATACATGTTTCAATGCTATTCTCTCAAATCAGTCCACCCTCACCTTCTCCCACAGAGTCGACCAGTCTGTTCTTTACATTATACAGAGCTAAGTAAGTCAGAAAGAAAAACACCAATACAGTATATTAACACATATATATGGAATTTAGAATGATGGTAATGATGACCCTATATGTGAGACAGCAAAGGGACACAGATGTAAAGAATGCCTTGCTATTTTCACTGATCAGTTCTGTCCACTGAAAAAGCATGTTGGAGTTGTTATACTATAAGTCACCATTTGCACTCAGTGGGGAACGACCTCTTTTGTAAGACCTACGGCTCAAAGACCTGTTTCAAAGACACAAGTCTATGTATATATAAGTAGAAATATAAATGTTACTCTCAGGGAAATGAAAATACACATGCAACCATACAGAAAATGACATCTCAGATGATGATTAATAAACACAGAACAAAGACAAAAAGCCACTTAAAGACAGACAAGAGATGTACTGACCTGAGAAAGATATGGAATGTTATTCTGATCAATTCCAGCTTGCTGAAATCAGAAGAAAAGGGGAAAAAGAAAACATTACAGCCAGGAGTGTTAACAAAGAAAACTAAGTGTGAGACCAATTTGTATACTAAAAAGAAAGGACTCCAAGAGCAAGAGTGCCTTGCTGGGCTGGTACACACCCAGATCAAGAAAAATGGCAGGCTAATGTGTGTCTTGTGGGGCTTCCCAGGTGGCTTAGCGGTAAAGAATCCACCTGACAATGCAAGAGACGCAGGTTCGATATCTGGGTCAGGAAGATCCCCTGGAGGAGGAAATGGCAACCCACCCCAGTATTCTTGCCTGGGAAATCCTCTGGACAGAGGAGCTTGGTGGGCTATAGTCCATGGGGTCGCAAACAATCAGACATAACAGCGACTGAGCAACCACCACAAAAGAATGCCTTGCACACTTAAGCATAAACTTATATTTGCTCTTAAAATAAAATTTAAAAAGACCTGCCAGATTTTGAGTCTTTGTTGTTTTGTGAAGAGCTTAGCTTCATTTTGGATATCATACAAATGTGTTCTAACTTTTCAAATACTCAGAAATAGCTACTAGGACAAACCTGTGGCCCACCTCATATGTTTCCTTCTCTCACTGGTTTTAGAGCTGTTTCTGGTGGGAAGGTAAGCTTGGTATAAATTATCCTCAAGTCACAGAATAGAAATCATTGTAAGATTGTTTATGATCACAAGTGCATTGGAGGGTACATTTGAAGTATCTATTCCTAGTTTTTAGTTGTACTGTTTACAAAATAGTTAAAACTACCCATTTCTATTTGTGTGACAGTGATTGTGGGGTGGAGGGATAGTTGTACAGGATACTAAACTAATACAGAAAATAGCACAAGAGCCGTGGCTAGAAATAGATTTCTGTACCTCTGCAACTTTAAGGAACCGTCCCAATTTGGTCATTCTTTCGAGGAACTTGATGTAAATATCCAAACTTTCCCTGCATTGCTTCTTCCCCATGTCAAAATATTTCTCTAAAAATAGAAAAAAAATGACAAAGTAGCCAGTATTGTAGCAGTCCCAAGTTCCATTCCTTTCTGATGATTCTGTTAATTCTGGATATGATTTTAACTTCTTGAAAACAACTACAGTTTTAATCCAGTAATGTTTTGCTTTAACAAACAACAACACTGCACATCTAAGTATAACCAACAGATTTTTTATACAGGAACTACTGCATGCCGGACACTGGTGCTGGTAATATATATGGCATTTAATAGCATACACATATAATTTAGATAGTTTAGTTTAATTTTTACAAATTCTAGTCTGGAATCTTTTTTGATTAACATCAGGTTCTGATGGTCTCTGATAGAGGGGCTGTATTTCCTACTCTTTATAACTCAACAAATGTACCAGGCACTTCCTAAATGTAAAAATTATCTCAAATTGTCAACAACAAAACTGGTTAGGGCTAAATGATGACTGAAATTTCCTAAAAAGCCTATATGCTTTTATATATGCTTGCTTGTATATGATCAAAACAATAATTTGTAGGCTGTATCTTAGGAAAGTTAGAATTGTACTATTTGACGTTAGTTGAGTGGGACTTACTGTGTAATGAATAAATATGGCAATCCATGTTAATTTCCCAATAAATTTCCCAGAAATATCAGTTAGCACTTATATACAAATTGACAAGTTCTAAAAGAGACACAGATGTACAGAACAGACTTTTAGACTCTGTGGGAGAAGGTGAGGGTGGGATGTTCAGAGAAAACAGCATTGAAACAAGTATACTATCAAAGGTGAAACAGATCACCAGCCCAGGTTGGATGCATGAGACGGGTGCTCAGGGCTGGTACACTGGGAAGACCCATAGGGATCGGATGGGGAGGGAGGCGAGAGGGGGGGATCGGGATGGGGAACACATGTAAATCCATGACTGATTCATGTCAATGTATGGCAAAAACCACTACAATACTGTAAAGTAATTAGCCTCCAACTAATAAAAATAAATAAAAAAGAAAAAAAAAGATGTTTATAATGGGGCTGAGTGGAGAATGAAGTAGTAATATATGCTATCATGTGGATGAACCTTGAAAATATTATGCTAAATGAAAGAAGTCAGATACAAAAGACCACATATAATTCTATTATTATGAAATGAAAATAGGTAAATCAATAGAGGCATTTCCTAGGGATCGGGAGAAGGCATAAGTAATTACTGACTACTAATGGGTACAGGGCTTGGTGATGATGAAAATATTCCGGAATTAGACAGTAGTGATAATTGCATAACTGTGACTATACTAAAAACTACTGAACTGTACATTTTAAAAAGTAAACACAATAATTTTCAATTAAAATAAGTGCCAATTTATAATGTATATTGCTTAATAAATAGCTTAAAAAAAAGCAATATGATGTCTAATTATGTAAATATGTATGACCTTGTAAAGATCTTCTATTTTGAACCTAAAATACAGATGAATCTAAATGTAGATATAAAGGGTTTTTACAAATAAAGTATTTTTGCCAATTTAGTTTTTAAAAAGTCATGTTTATTTTAGCTTACCTAGCAGATTAAGGATCCCCTCATTATAGGCTGCAAAGAGGCGAAGAGAATCCTTAAAGAGGAGCATGAAAGCGGCATGTATTATACCATTAGTTAGTTCATCAGCATTTGCCTGGAAATTAAAGAGGAATTGATTACCACCACGCTTTTTTCCCTCTCCCACCTACAGTCAAACAATGCTGCTTAACAATATTTTTTTTAAAAAAAGATTTATAAACCTCTTACATTAAAATTCAGAAGAGCGTCAAACTGAATTTGAATAACTGGAAGAGTGTTCAGCAGCTCCTTAGTGTTCATAGTTCTCATCACACCATCTGTCCTATAAAAGATAAAAGAAGTTCATAACATCAGTGCTAATTAAGAGTTTGCGAAGCACTGTGACATCGGCATCTTGAAAAATAGCTGCGTTTTTGCTAAACTACATATCAGAACAGATATATACTGCAGTACTTCTTGCTTACAAGCTAACAATATTTACCTACCCTCTTTTGATTTTGGTGATGTCTGACTCCATCAGTCTATATGCGAGTGACTTTTCATTCAAGTACTTGCTATATCGTCTGATGAAAGCTGACATAGTATAGCCTAAAAATGAAATACTTTTTATTATTTCCAGTTTAACCAATGTTAACCATTTACAACATACATCAACAAATGCAAAGATTTATCATTCCACATTCACGCATATCCCTCAACAATATCTTTGAAACATAAAACACTAGAATGGCTTTTATTACTCACCGAGTACAGTATTCCTAAAACTTTCTGTTAAATATTACTTTTAAAATGAGTTTATGCTTATTTATTTATTTTTAATTTTAATTGGAGGCTAATAACTTTACAATATTGTGGTGGTTTTTGCCATACATTGACATGAATCAGCCATGGGTGTACAAGTGTTCCCCATCCTGAACCCCACTCCCACCTCCCTCCCCATCCCATCCCTCAGGGTCATCCCAGTGCACCAGTCCTTCCTCAAAGTGTTGATATCACCTTTGGATATGTTATTGACGGTGACATTTCTGAACCAGAGAAATAACTGAACTTTATTAGTTCCTTTCACATTTTCACAAACACTATTATAAATCCTTGGCATTTTCCTGACACCCCCATCCCCTTGTTACCATTGTTCCAGTCTTCCTTTCACTCAACAAATGACCTTGCCCCTACTTCATAGACAAAATGTAAAGAGAAAGGTCATGACAGAAACTCAACTGCTCACTATGGGCCTTGATTCATTTATTCAATTTACTTATTCATTTAACAATTATTCAGTGTTCACTATGATGCTGTAGGTTCAGGATTGAACAATACAGACCCACCCCACTTCCTGCCAAAAAAAAAAAACCCTGCCTACACGGATCTTAGACTCCAATGGTGATTGATAGACAAGCAAAAGAAAAGAAAAATACAGAGATGTTTAGTTGCTGAGAAGTGGAAAGAATAAAACTCAGGCAGAGAAGGGATAAAGGGACCATGATTTTTGGGAGACTGAGCCAGGAAAGCTTCACTGAGTAAATACCTGCATATGTGTTGTGTCAATGAATTTAGAAACTACTTTCCATCATAAAACGTACACCACATTACACCCTTCATCATTCAGAACCATTTTTTTAAACTAGGCATGGTTTCCAAAACATTTCCCTCCTTGCCACAAAGAAATATTTCCATCAAAGAATCATCTTACCTTCTACGACACTTTTATCCAGAAAGTTGTGTAAAGTGAACAAAGAACTTCTCGATGCAAGATGTTGGATAAAACGCTGTCAAACAAGTGTGCCAAATTTTCAAAATTAGTTTTGGTTCACAAATAGAGTTCATTCATGATTTTTTCTTTGTGAATACATACTTAACATAATTCTATCATACATATCTTCTATTTCAGGGGCATTGATTAAGGTGAGCACCATCACACCCTGGGCTAGCCAACATAAGGATCTGCAGTGCTGACAAGTCTGTTGACATACCCCCCAAATAAACAAGGGGTTAAACATTAAAGCTAATGTGAATACACACTTTTCACCCATGCCTTTCTATCAGTAACACCTCAGGAGTTAGGGACACTGACCCACCATGCAGTCAAAAATTCCCATATAATTCATATAATTTCATAAAGTGAAAGTTGCTCAGTCATGTCAGACTCTTTGCAACCCCATCGACTATATATACAGTGCATGGAATTCTCCAGGCCAGAATACTGGAGTGGGTAGCCTTTCCCTTCTGCAGGGGATCTTCCCAATCCAAGGATCAAACCCAGGTCTCCCACATTGCAGGTGATTCTTTACCAGCTGAGCCACCAGGGAATAAAACCCACATATAAAACCCAGTCAGCTATCTGTAGATGCCATACCACTGTAACTGTGATTCCATCCATGCCTATGGAGTCAACCAAGCATGGATACTGTAGTGCTGTAGTACTTATGATAGAAAAAAGCCACATACAAGAGGACCTGTGCAGTTCAAACCTGAGATAGTCAAGGGTCAGTGGCAATTATAGGATTAATTATTTTGATCACTCATGTTAAATTATTTAACAATTCAATTAATAGAAAAATGAAAAGAATACTTTGATACATCTCTGGACCCCACTGCCCAGAAATGGCAACTGCTAACTTTTGCACATATCTCCTTCAGTTCTATTTTTTGGCAGGAATTTATTTATCATTTATTTATTTATTTGGCTGAGTTAGGTTTTAGTTGCAGCACAGTGGATCTTCATTTTGTCACGTGGGATCTTTTGTTATGGCACACCGACTCTCTAGCTGTGGTGCACGCTCAGTTGGCCCATGGCATGTGGGATCTTAGTTTCCCAGCCGGGGATTGAACTCTCATCCCCTATATTGCAAGGCAGATTCTTAACGACTGGACCACCAGGAAGGTCTCTTCAACTCTATTTTAAAATAAGAGGCATAAGGCCTTACAGATAAAGTTAATAGTGGCCTTTGTCCCATCCTCAAGTTCAATTTACTTCTCCTACCTGGAAGGAAATACTATCGAAATTTTCATGTGCTATCCTTGCATCCTATTCTCTTTATAGTTTCATATATATACCTGTCACATGGACAAATATGGTATGAATTTTTAACATTTATAGAAATTATACTGGACTCTAAATATCATTCCGTGGCTTACTTCCTCTACTAGCAAAATGGTATACTTTATTAAATACTGATTGCAAAGAGAAATTCACAAGTAAAAATGGAAAAGTTGGTGTTTTCGTATCTACTTCCATGTACTTTCCCCACTTGTCATGAATGAAAGCAAAATGTCGTAAGCCCCTAACACACTGAGCATATTCAGCAATTGTGTCCTAACAGTCCTTTGTACTAAAAGGAAGGAACAGACGCCATGCTCACCTCATTTCCATACACCATGAGGTGATGGACAGTAACCAGGGCTTTGAACACCACCACCCAGCTGCTGCTACCAGTTTTCTCAGAAAGAATATCAGCCAGATGGACAACACTCATATTTGTTCCATTTATGTACTGAATCAGATCTAAATTAGAGACAGTGACAAGCATTAAAACACAGACTGAGAAAAAAAATTTCAAAACCAAAATTGGTAACTTTACCTGAAATCCAGATGCAATCAAATCTCAGAGACATGATAAAGAAAACATTTTCTTCATTTCAAGTAGTAAAATTTGTGCATGCCTGTGCTAAGTCGCTCAGCCGTGTCTGACTCTTTGCAACCCCATGGACTGTGGCCTACCAGGCTCCTCTGTCCATGGGATTCTCCAGGCAAGAAACCTGGAGTGGGTTGCAATTTCCTCTTCCAGGGGATTTTCCCAACCCAGGGGTCAAACCCACTTCTTCTGCATTGCAGGCAGATTCTTTACCACTGAGCCACCTAGTACTAACATGGTAGGTGATACTGAATGCCTGTTTACCCTATTTGTTCCATAGTTAATGAGGATTGTGACTGCATTGATTCTGCTCACCAGTGTCTCCCTAAGACCCAGCACAGTAGCTGGCACATACCAATTTATGGAAAATACTTGTTAAATAAATGGATAAGATTCAAGAAGGTAAGTAACATGCTCAAGGTCATACAGGTAGTTCAGTGGAAGGGCTTGGATTTGAAATCAGGTTTGTTTGACTCTGAAGACCGAGGTATTAAACATTTTGTCATTGTGCCTCGCTCAAGAAAAGTGTCATTCCATGACGGTTCAGTAAGGAGCTTTGTCTCCCTAAGTCTGACTTTGTGGTTTACACCTTTTAATTTCTTACTGCTTTTTCTTCTTGAGTCCACTTCCCAACAGCCTTGTACCTGGTTTACTGCAACAGCTTTCTGCTTTCCTGCCTCAAGGTTATAACCATTAATTAATTAACTGACTTTTACAGCCCCTCAAAAGGTAAGTTTCATTATCTTGTTTTCCTACTGAAGAACATACAATGATTCCTTGCTGTTTATCAGTTCAAAAGTTCTTGCTTTCCAAACCATCTATAAACTATCATTCTAATTAATTAACTGACTTTTACAGCTCCTCAAAAGGTAAGTTTCACTATTTTGTTTTCCTACTGAAGAACATACAATGATTCCTTGCTGTTTATCAGTTCAAAAGTTCTCCTTGCTTTCCAAACCATCTACAAACTATCATTCTAAAACAACTTAATCCGTAGCACTTATCCATTACGCAGCATCTTCATATGCACAGCAGTAGGACAGGTACTGAAGAGGGGGCTTAATAAATATGCTAGTGGATTAGAGTGACAGACTGACCCTGTAAAGTAAGATTTACTTATTCAACAAACATATATACTCAGCTTCAATGCCTAATATGTGCCAGTTGCTGTGCCATGTTTGGCAGGCTTCCCTGGTGGCTCAGGTGGTAAAGAATCTCCCTGCAATACAGGAGTCATGGGTTCCATTCTTGGTGGGGAAGATCCCCTGGAAAAGGGCATAGGAACCCACTCCAGTATTCTTGTTTGGAGAATCTCATGGACAGAGGAGCCTGGCAGGTACAGTCCACAGAGTTGCACACACTTGGACAGGACTGAAACAACTTAGCAAACATGTCCATGCCATGTTTAAGGTTATGAAGAATGAGATTCTCTGCTATATTTTTTATCTTTAGGTCTGCTTCATTCCTCTTTCTGTGCAGTTTCCTCTGCAACCTTTTTATTTCTGCTTTGGCATGATTTCAGTCTTTGGACTGAATCTTTCAGTTATGCTGGTACTGATTCAAGTGCCCCTGTTTGGTTCCATTCACACTTCACATTGGTAATTATTGCTTAACCTTCAGGCTTTGAAAAGTTAATCCTCATACATGTTACATCCTAGCGCAGGGCTGGATTATATATACTGTCCCAGAATCTAATATGGGACCTGTTGAGAATAATCTTCAGGAAACTTTAAAAATATATATAGTGAGAGGAAATTAATCTGCTTAACTTTGGTGAACTGTTAGTTGCTGCAATAAACACCCATTATCATGATGATAAGAAAAAATTACAGGAGACAAATGCACATTAGGTCAATGAATAGTTTTGAAGCCAAATAGCAAAATCAAGAGTTGATCAAAAGGCTGAATTGGCTACAAAAGTTGCAATAGCAATGGGATTTACATCTATTGCCAACAGCACAGATTGTTTATGAAGCCACTGTTCCTGTGCAAAGACTCGGACATGACTGAGCACACACACACACACACACACACACACACCCATACACCACTGCTCTGGTGCAAAGAGTTGGACACGACTGAGCATGCACAAACACGCACACACACACCCATACACCACTGCTCTGGCACAAAGTCTGACACAACTGAGCACACACACACACACACACCCATACTCCACTGCTCCAGCACATAGAGTCAGACATGCCTGAGCACGCACACACACAGGCACAAACCCATACACCACTGCTCTGGAGCAAAGAGTTGGACACGACTGAGCATGCACACACAAAAACACACACAACCATCCACCACTGCTCCGGTGCAGAGCCAAACATGACTGAGCACACACAGACATACACACACACACACACACACACAACTGCTCTGGCAAAGAGTCAGATATAACTGAGCATGCATGCGCACACACACACCCCCATATGCCACTGCTCTGGCACAGAGTCATACACAACCAAACACACACACACACACAAAAAAAAGCACACACACACAGCCATATACCACTGTTCCATCATAGATAGTCGGACACTATTGAGCACACACACCCATATGCCACTGCTCCTGTGCAAATAGTCGGACATGATTGAGCACGCACACACACACACACACACACACACACACACACTCATATTCCACTGCTCCAGCACAAAGATTCAGACAGGACTGAGCACAAACACATGCACACACACGCACCCATATGCCACAGCTCTGGTGTAGAGTTGGACAGGACTGAGCACACACACACACACCCACACTCCCATATGACACTGCTCCAGCGAAAAGAGTCAGACATGACTAAACATGGACACACACACAGAAACCCATCTGCCACTGTGCTGGAGGAGTCAGACATGACCAAACACACACACACACACACACACACACACACCCATACACCACTGTTCTACCACAAAGAGTCAGACACTACTGAGCATGCACACACACACACACACACACACACACACACACACATATGCCACTGCTCCAGTGCAAAGAATCGGACATAACTGAGCTCACACATAGACATACACACACCCACACACCACTGCGCAAACAGTAGGACACAACTGAGTTCACACACAGACACACACACACATCCATACACCAGAGCTCCAGCACAAAGAGTTGGACACGCTTGAGCACACACACACACACACATGCACACATCCACATGCCACTGCTCTGGTGCAGAATTGGACACAACTGTGTACACACACACACACACGCACACACACACACACACAGCCAGCCGCCACTGCTCCAGTGCAGAGAGTCAGACATGACTGAGCATGCATGCATGCACATGCACACACACACACACACACACACACACCCATATGCCACTGCTCCAGCACAAAGAGTCAGACAGGACTGACATGCACACACCCCCATATGCCACAAATCTGGTGCAGAGTCGGAAAAGATTGAGCGCACAAATACACACACACACTCACAGCCATCTGCCACTACTCTGGTGCAAAGAGTCAGACACGACTGAACATGCACACACACACATCCATATGCCACTGTTTCACAGCAAAGAGTCGGACATGACTGAGTACACACACACACACACAAACCATCCGCCACTGCTCCAGTGCAAAGAATCAGACACTACTGAGCATACACACAAACACACATACCCAACACCACTGCTCAGGTGCATAGAGTCAGAAACGACTGAGCTCACATACAGACAGACACAGACACACCCATATGCCACTACTCTGTTGCAAAAAGTCAGAAAGGACTGAGCACACACACACACACATGCACACACAGACACACCCATACACCACTGTGCCAGTGCAAAGAGTAGAACATGACTGAGTATGCATACACACACGCACACACACACACACACACATGCACATACATATCCCACTTTGCTCCAGTGCAAAGAGTCAGACATGACTGAGCACATGGGCACCAACACACCCCCATATGCCACTGCTCCGGTGCAGTCAGACACGACCGAGCACACACACACACCCATATGCCACTGTTCTACCACAGAGTCAGACACTACTGAGTGCACACACACACACAAATACATGCACACCCATATGCCACTGCTCTGGTGCAGAGTTAGACATGACTGAGTACACAGACACACACATGCCTCTGCTCTGGCAAAAAGAGTCAGACATGACTGAACATGCAGACACACACAGACACACAAACCCATCCGTCACCACTCCAGTGCAAAGAATCAGACATGACTGAGCACACAGACAAACACACACACACCAATACAAAACTGGATAGGCACAAAGAGTAGGACATGACTGAGTTCGCACATAGACACACACACACACACACCCCATCCATCACTGCTCCAGTGCAAAGAATTGGACATGACTGAGCACACACACACACACCAACACACACACACCCATGTGCCACTGCTCCAGTGCAAACAGTTGGACAGGAGTGAGCACGCACACACACACACACGCACACACTCATATGCCACTGCTCCAGTGCAAAGAGTCAGACAGGACTGAGTGCACACACACACCTATCTGCCACTGCTCTGGTGCAGAGCTGGACATGACTGAGTATACACACACACACACACAACCATCCGCCACTTCTCTGGGGTAGAGTCAGACACGACTGAGCATGCACACAAACACACATACCCAACACCACTGCTCAGGCGCATAGAGTCAGACACGACTGAACTCACACACAGACACACACACACACACCCATACGCCACTGCTCTGGCACAAAGAGTCGGACACGACTGAGCTCACACACACACACACACACACACACACACACACATCCATATGCCACAGGTCTAGTGCAGAGTTGGACATAACTGAACAAACACACACATGCATGCACACACACACATATGCCACCGCTCTGGTGAAAAGAGTCAGACATGACAACACATACACACACACACAGACCCATTCGTCACTAGTCCAGTGCAAAGAATTGGACATGACTGAGCACACATACACACACACCAATACAAAATTGCTCAGGCGCAAAGAGTAGGACATGACTGTGTTCACACACAGACACACACACAAACACAAACACCCATCCATCACTGCTCCAGCACAAAGAGACGGACAGGACTGAGCATGAACACACACACACACACACACACATACCCATACACCACTGCTCTGGTGCAGAGTGTGACACAAGTGAGCGCACACACACAGAGACATGCACACCCATATGCTACTGCTCTCGCAAAAAGAGTCAGACACGACTGAACATGCACACACACACACACACACACACCTATGCCACTGCGCTGGCACAGTCAGACATGACCGAGCACACACACACACAAACACCCCCCAATACAAAACTGCTCAGGCGCAAAGAGTAGGACACAACTGTGTTTGCACACACAGACACACACACCCATCTGTCACTGCTCCAGTGCAAAGAATCAGACATGACTGAGCACACACAATCACACACAGACACCCATATGCCACTGCTCCAGTGCAAAGAGACAGGACTGAACCTGAACACACACACACACACCAATACACCACTGCTCTGGTGCAAAGTCAGAAATGACTAAGCACACACACACGCACGTGTGCACACCCATATACCACTGCTCCAGTTAAAAGAGTCAGACACGACTGAACACGCATGAACACAAACATACTCCCATATGCCACTGCGCTGATGCAGTCAGACACGACCGAGCACACACACACACACCCATACACCACTATTCCACCACAAAGAGTTGGACACGACTGATCACACACACATACACACACACACCCATATGCCACTGCACTGGTGCAAAGAGTCAAACATGACTGAACACATACACACACCCATATGCCACTGCTCTGGTGCAGTTGGACACGACCAAGCATACACACACACCCACCCACCCATTCGCCACTGTTATAACTCAAACAGTCGGATACTACTGAGGGCATAGACATGCACACACCCATATGCCACTGCTCTGGTGAAAAGAGTCAGATACAACTGAACAGACACACACACCAATATGCCACTGCGCTGGTGCAGTTGGACACAACTGAGCACACACACACACACACCCATACACCACTGTTCCACCACAAAGAGTCGAACACTACTGAGCATGCACGCGCGCACACACACACACACACATCCACATGCCACTCCTCTGGGACAAAGAGTCAGACATGACTGAGCATGGACACACAAATGCAGACACACACACCCATCTGCTACTGCTCTGGTGCAGATTTGGACATGACTGAGCACACACACACACACACACACACACACACACACAAACCCATATGACACTGATCCAGTGCAAAGAATCAGACATGACTGAGCACACACACACACACACACGCCACTGCTCTGGTACAAAGAGTTGGACAGGACTGAGCACAGACACACACACACACACACACACACAGCCATACGCCACTGCTCCAGCACAAAGAGTTGGACATGACTGAGTATGCATGCACACGTGCACACACACACATACAACCATATCCCACTGCTCCGGTGCAAAGAGTCGGACACGACTGAGCGTGTGCATGCACACAGTCACCCATAAACCACTGCTCCGGTACAGAGTTGCACACCTCTGAGCATGCACACACACACACACACACACACACACACACACACCCATCCGCCACTGTTCCGGCACAAAGAGTCGGACATGACTGAGCATGCACACACACACACAGACCCCCATACTTGCTCCACAGGGAGTCTCTGGGCAACATATAACTTTAAGAACGGGACCCCTCTCAGAAGCCCGAGTTGTTACTCCGCTGCCTATTATGCCCCAAGGTTCAGGCTGAACGTGCAAAAAGTTCGACGTTTGGAGTTAAAGAGACCATGGTTTGGGCTCCAAGCTCAATCAAAGGCACTAGAGTGCGAACGCCCCCTCCCCCACGCCCCCGTGCCCATGGCCATGCGGTGGAGGGGGAGGGTGCTGGGGCTGCGGCACGGCCTGAGAGGCCATAGTGCCTACTCACCCGCCAAGTGTTTCGGCTCGGGTTTGGTGGGCTCGTTGGTGGTCGCGGCGAGGGCAGCCTTGGACGCAGACGACCCCATAAGTGCGTCGCCGGCTGCCAGCCACGAGGGTAATGGCAGCAGAAGCTGGTCCCTCCTCTTCCGGCCAGCTGACTGAGCCTGTACCCGGGCGATGGGAGGGGCGCCTGAGATGACGGAAGAAAGACCTTGCCTGGGAGCCAGCCTTCACCATCACTCTGTCCTGCACCCCCTGACTCGGGCCTGCAGAATTATGAGGTGAGGCATGAAGTCACGAGGTGCTGGGGCCGAGTATAGCGGGTTCAGGGAGGTAGGACCCCACGTGAGGCGGAGTATCTCAGGCGACCAAGGCATGATAGACCCTCAATAAGAGAATAAACAACTGCCATTGAGTGAATATCATGAGAAAGAGGGACATGTCAGGGACCACAGATGAAAGATCTGGAGATCTTTTGGTCTTAGGAAGTTAAGTGGTCATGTGACAATGCTGTGGAAATCCTTGACCTGGCCTTCTTAAGGAGGCTTCCGTCACGGGTAATGGGATCTGTATCCTGCCTGAGTTCCTGGCCTTCAACCCTTCACCCAGCATCATATATGGAAGTTCATAGATTTCTTCATACTATTCCGTTTACCCCTGCAGTCTATAGTGACCTTACTACTCTCAATCTTGATAGTAATGTATGCCCTCTCTCTCTTTTTCTTCCATGATTGATCTGGCTAGACAACTATCAATATGATTGATCCTCTCAAAGGACCACGTTTTGGTTTCATTGATTTTCTCTGTATTCTCTTTTCTATGTCATTGATTTCTGCTCCTATCTGTATTATTCCATTGCTTCTACTTACTTGCAGTTTATTTACCTCTTCACTTTCTAGTTTCTGAAGAGAGGTTCGATTCCTTGTTTAAGATTCTTTTTTATAATATAGGACATTAGGGTTAAGTACGGCTTTTGTTTCTGTCAAAGATATTATTTCAGTCTTTTAAATATTATTGAGATCTATTTTATAGAACAGAATATATGTGCTACCAAGGTAAATGTTCAGTGTACCCTTGAAAGATGCATATTTTTTAAATTAATTTATTTTTGTATTGAAGGATAATTGCTTTACAGAATTTTGTTGTTTTCTGGCAAACTTCAACATGAATCAGTCATATATGCATATACCCCTCCCTTTTGAACTTCCCTTCCATCTCCCTCCCCATCCCACCCCTCTAGGTTGATACAGAGCCCCTGTTTGAGTTTCCTGAACCATACAGCAAATTCCCATTGGTTATTTTACATATGGTAATGTAAGTTTCCATGTTACTCTTTCTATACATTTTACCCTCTTCTCCCCTCTCCCCATGTTCATAAGTCTATTCTCTATGTCTGTTTCTCCACTGCTACCCTGTAAATAGATTCTTCAGTACCATTTTTCTAGATTCTGTATATATGCATTAGAATACGATATTTATCTTTCTCTTTCCAACTTACTTCACTTTGTATAATAGGTTCTAGGTTCATCCACCTCATTAGAACTGACTCAAAGGCATACCTTTTTATGGCTGAGTAATATTCCACTGTGTATATGTACCACAACTTCTTTATCCGTTTATCTGTCTATGGACGTCTAGGTTGCTTTCATGTTCTAGCTATTGTAAATAGTGCTGCAATGAACAATGGGATACATATGTCTTTTTCAACCCTAATTTCCTCAGGGAATATGCCTAGCAGTGGGATTGCTGGGTCATATGGTGGTTTTATTTCTAGTTTTTTAAAGGAATCTCCATACTGTCTTCCATAGTAGCTGTATCAATTTACATTCCCACCAACAGTGCAAGAGCATTCCCTTTTCTCCACACCCTCTCCAGCATTTTTTGTCTGTAGACTTTTTGCTGATGGCCATTTTGACCAGTGTGAGGTGATAGCTCATTGTAATTTTGATTTGCATTTCTCTGATAATGAGCGATGTTGAGAATCTTTTCATGTGTTTGTTAGCCATCTGTATGTCTTCTTTGGAGAAATATCTGTTTAGGTATTTTTTCCACTTTTTGATTGGGTTGTTTGGTTTTCTGGTATTGAGTTGTATGAGTTGCTTGTATATTTTGGAAATTAATCCTTTGTCAGTTGTTTCATTTGCTATTATTTTCTCCCATTCTGAGGGTTGTCTTTTCACCTTGCTTATAGTTTCCTTTGCTGTGCAAAAGCTTTTAAGTTTAATCAGATCCCACTTGTTTACTTTTGTTTTTATTTCCATTACTCTAGGAGGTGGGTCATAAAGGATCTTGCTTTCACTTATGTCATCAAGTGTTCTGCCTATGTTTTCCTTTAAGAGTTTTATAGTTTCTGGTCTTACATTTAGGTCTTCGAAAGCTGCATTTTTTTTCCCTGCTCAATGCAGTGTTCCATTAAATGTGTTTTACAGTTATTGGTATTGTATCACAAGTGACTGAAGCTCTGTTCATTTGTATTTTTATAGCCTTTGCCCCCCACCCTGAGCTTCAGGTTGGAGACTTTATTTTGCTATGTCTTCAAGTTCACTGATCTTAGCTTTTGCAGAGTCTAATCTTCTCTTAATCCCATTTTGGACAGTTTTCATGTCCAGTAAGGTGTTTTTCATCTCTAAAATTTCCATTTGATTCTTATCTTTCAATGCTCTCTTCATTAGGTTTACATTTTCCTTTAAACCCTTGTGGATAGCACAATAACTATCAAGGTTGTATGTTTGTCAACCAATTCCTTCATCTTTGACATTTCTGGCTCTGTTTCTATTGACTTATTTTTCTCTTTGACATAGCTAACATTTTTTCTGCTTCTTATGCAATTTTATGTAGATGTCAAATATTGTTAATTTTGCTTCACTGAGTGCTGTATTTTTATATATTCCTTTACAGAATGTTGAACTTTGTTTAGACAGGCACATACATTACTTTGATATCTCTTCTATCCTTTCAGCATATGTTTTCTCAAACAGCTTTATCGGTATTTAATTAATAGATGATATTTAGTTCACATATCATGGTGCAGTTGTAAAGAATCTACTTATCAGTGCAGGAGACCCAGGTCTGATCCCTGGGTTTGAAAGATCCCCTGGTGGAAGAAATGGCAACACAGTCCAGTATTCTTGCCTGGAAAATTCCATGGACAGAGGAGCCTGGAGGGTTTGCAGTCCATGGGGTTGCAAAGAGTCAGACACAACTGAGTGACTGAGCATGCACACTATCATACCATTCACCCATTTAGTCTATAAATTGGTAGTTTTTAGTATATTCAGAGTTGTATGACCAGCACCAGGATCAATTTGCAACAGTTTACAAAGAAACTCCACACTCATTAGCCATCATTCCTCATTTCCACCTAAACTTCCCATCCCTAGTCAGTCACTATTCTACTTTATGTCTCTGAAGATTTTCCTATTCTGAATATTTCATATGAAAGGACTCAGTCAATATGTGGAACTTTGAAACCAGGCTCTTTCACTTAGCATAATATATTCTAGCTTCATTCATGTTGTAGCATTAATCAATACTTCATTTCTTGTTATGACCAAATAATATTCCATTGTATGGGTATACTACAATTTATCCATTCATTGATGAACATTTGAGCTGTTTCCCTTTTTGAACTATTGTGAACACTGCTTCACATGCAAGTATTTCTTTCAATACCCTTTTTCAGTTCTTTTAGATACATACCTAGGAGTGGAACTGCATGTTCATATGGTTATTCTGTGTTGAACTTTATAAGGAAGTGCCAAACTGTTTTCCACAGGACTGAACCTTATTACAATTCCACCAGCAATGTATAAGGGTACCAATTTTTCCACATCCTTGCTAATATTTCTTTTCCATTTGTTTGATTATAGCCATCTGAGTGGGTGGAAAGTGGTATTTCTATGTAATTTTCATTTACAATTTCCTGATGACTAATAATTTAGTAGAATTTTTTCATGTGCTTATTGCAATTTGTGTATCTACTTTGGAGTAATGTCCATTCTGATCCTTTGCCAATATTTTCCTTTTTTATCATTTGCTAATTTTTAATTGGGTTATTTATCTTTTTTCAGCTTTATTGAGGTATGATTAACAAATAAAAATTGTATATATTTAGGTTGTACAACATGATGTTTTCTTTTAGGGTGTGAAAGATAAGGACTGTGAAATGATCACCATAATCTAGTTAATTAACACATCCATCATCTCCATACTTGAAATATTTCCTGTGGTTAGAACACTTATGATCTATTCTTTTAGCAAATTTCAAGTATGCAATATTAATAATTATGGTCACCATGCTGTGTGTTAGATCCCTAGAACTCATTCATCTTTTTTAATGAATTCATCTTGTAACTGAAAATGTATATCCTTTGATCAACTTCTCCCCATTTCCCCCAGCCCCAGCCCCCAGCAAACATTATTCCACTTTCTGGTTATATAAGTTCAACATTTTCAGATTCCATATATAAGTGAAATCATATATCATTTGTCATTCTGTGCTTAGCTTATTTCACCTAGCATCATGTCCTCCAGGCTTATCTATGTTGTTACAAAAGGCAGAATTTCCTTTTTTTAATGACTGCATTTTATATATATATATATATATATATATATATATATATATATACCTTTGAGATATTGCTTTCATTTCCTACAGATATATGCCCAAAATTTGGATTGCTGGATCATATGGTAGTTCTATTTTTAATTTTTTGAAGAACTCCATACTGTTTTGAAAATGGCTATACCAGTTTATATTCCCATCAACAATGTATAGGGTTCCTTTTTCTCCACATCCTCATGGCTACTTGTTTTTTGTTGTCTTTTTGATAACAGCCACCCTGACACGTGTGAGGTGATAGCTTATTGTGGTTTTGATTTGCATTTCATTGATGATTCTCAGTGTTGAGCATCTCTTCATGTGTATGTTGGCCATTTGTACGTCTTCTTTGGAAAGTGTTTATTAGGTCTCAGGTCTATTCTTAAATTAGAATGCTTGTATTTTTTTGCTATTGTTATAAAAGTTTCTTATATATTTGAGGTGAAAGTGAAAGTCACTCAGTTGTGTCCATTTGTGACCCCATGG